ACATGAGGAGAAAACGTCCAGAGAAGTGGCGCACAAACGACTGGTACTCCACCATGACAACGCACGACCGCATACGGCTTACATTGTGCAGGGATTTTTGGGTAAAAACAAGATGGCAGTTGTTCCTCACCCACCGTACTCGCCAGACTTAGCTCCATGCAACTGCTTTCTCTTTCCCAAGATGAAAATCAAGTTGAAGGGGCGAAGATTTGATACAGTTGAGGAAATTCAAGCAGAAACACAGACGGTACTAAACACCCTAACAAAGAAAGACTTCCAGGATGCATTTGAAAAGCGGCAGAAACGCTGGGATCGGTGTATGCACTCCAAAGGGGACTACTTTGAAGGTGATGGTGCAGAATAAGATCTAGGTAAGATGTAATAGTTTTTATTAATATATTTCGGGAACTTTTGGATTGCACCACGTAATACAGAAAACTACCTTAGTGCCATCTGTGAACGATGATGAAAATAAGATGCCTGAGACAAGCAAAAGCATATGGGTATGACGCATTACTGCTAAGTACAGAAAACTTTGTCATCAATCTCACCAGACATTCCCACATACTGGGTTAAAATCCACCTTCCCATGGTCAGTGATGGATAATGTTGATCAAGTTTAATCCAAAGCTACTTTTCTTTTAAGAAACTTCATCACATTCATGAAACTATGAACCTGAAACTGGATTCTAAAGACAATAACATGTAGATAGCAATGAGCAGATGTTATCTACCTTCTTGGTTTATTTAACCACACTCTTGTCAACTCAACAGATCAAATATATAAGGGCAGTCATCCACATTTGTTTTCACGTGGCATATAGCAATGATGATGAGTTGGGAAATTATCATGTCACAGCACGATCAATCAGTTTCATGTTATCCTCTGGGAATCTGTTTTGCAGTTAAAAGAAGTGTTTACTGACACCATGTTTTCCATTTGAAAAGCCCAGGTTTCAGCAAGTTTTAGAAGAGGAAACAATGAGTGAAAATATGGGTTTATGCACGAGTTCAGGAATTTCAAGCACAGACAATAAAGATACGCCATCGTACTTCCAACAACTGACCCAAATGTCTGACTACAAGGAAGATTAAAGAAAAAAATACAAATGCAGGAAGTGTGAGAATATCCACCATTGAACTAACCATTATGGAAATGTGCTAAAACAGCACTGAAAATTCTCAGGAGTAAGATAAGGAAAACAAAATTTGCTTGCCTCTCTCAGCAAGTGTGATGGAAGAACCAAATCAGGTGAAGAATTGGGTGTTGCTAACAATGCATAACAGTTTCCCACAGCCATGTCATCTTTCTACTGGAAGAACTCATCATCCACCTAAAAATATGTAGTTCTGAAACAACCTTCCATCAGTTCCACGATGGCGTTGACCTGCAAGACAAACCATTCCGTGTCATCGTGTCTGATGACTTCTATGGCTTCAGTGCCTGTTAAATAAGTGAAAAGACTATCATTATCAAAGCTAACAAGGGTGTCTAGGGGTTGAAAGTTTACAGATTTCAACAACTGTAAGAAATGGTCAATTTTACTTAACGAAGGGTTCCAATATTCCAGCAAAAGGACTCAGTATGTTATGGAGAAAACCAACCAAGACATAGCAAGGGGAACCAATAGCACTCACTAAACGTGTCACAGAGAAATGTCTGGGTTGCGAATCTTGGGAAGACCATGTAGATGTAGATGTTTGCTGTGTTATGTTTTAGATCTGTAGGAAGAGTAGTTTTGTGTTCAGAAGGGATTTTCTGTACTTTCCTCTCAACCTTAGTTCTTGGATCCTTGGGCAAGGTTTCATAAACCCTGAACTCTAGCAAACTGTTCGACTTACACTTGTATTTGGATTCATCCAACAATACAGTTGTCTCTGTCTGCCTGAAGAATCCTAATATCTTTGTTAAGCCTCAAAGATTCCAAATCCTTTTTAGTGATGTTAGGCATGGAAGACTTATGCTTTCTAACATGAAGTATAGGCACAATCTCAGACATGATCTTCTAGAAAAATCACAATTAGCCCAACATGCCTGTGAACAGAGCAAGTTAGGACAATGCCTCCATTAGGCCATAACCACATCACTCATTGATTGATTCATTCATTCATTATTAGAGGGGGTAAGTTCCCCCATGCACTGCGACCAGTTGTTGATCTACTGTATGTCCCCATTTGATATTTTACCAGTCGCCATACCCTTCCGATACCGGTGCTTGCTATCAGCCCTGTTCAGCCCCTCTACTGGCAGAGGTACCCGATAATTAACCCATCTACCAGAGGCTTTGGAAACTACTTGGGCAGGAAACTTTTTACCTAATTTTGCTCAGAGGTCACCTAGAGACATGAGGATCTTTTACGTGCCGTAAATCTAGGACACAGGACCCACGGCTTAAATTCCCTCTTGGAGGACTTGTTCCCTGAATTTTTCCACCCTTAAAAATTCCACGATCTCCGCTGGGCTTGAACCCGCGTACCTTGAGTCATGAGGTGGGAACGTTACCCCTAGACTACAGAGGCCGCTATAACCACGTCACTCACATATCATCCCAACTGAACCATACACTCTGAAAGACTGATGTCATTAAATAACCCATGACAAAAAAGGCTATGTCATTATTCTAGCCATACCTACAACTTCGCTGTGTTAGCATTTCAGCCTTCTACTTTTGGTAACAAAATGACCTTGTGTCCATACGTAGCACATTTTCACAATGTATGAAAAATCATATACTCGGTTCATTCATTGGTGGGAGTTAGAAAATAGTGCAAAACAAGCTATTCATTTTCAGTTGCAAGTAACAAATTAGGATGATACGGAACTTAAAATAATATTCCTTCACTCATCTGGCAAATATCTAGAAAGACTAAAGCAAATTATGATTTTTTCGTATATTCAGTAATATATGATTTACATATACCACTAAATTCTATCAAAGAGAGTTCAGAGTGGCATTACAAGCAGTTTTTAGAATTGCAAAGGCCTCGAGATGAACTAGAGCAAAAAATGGATATAAGATGATAGTTATAGAACGTAACAGAATACAGATCTAATAAAATTTCTGGCTGGTGGGGAGAAGTGACTATTTAGTGCAATCAGCATTCTACTAAGCATTCTCAAGAGATTTCTAATACAGGTGTAAATCTTTTATATATTCATTACATAAATATTACATCTCACGTCCCATCAAGTGTTCAAAATCTATGCTTTTCCTTAAATGTTTATTTTTTTAAAGGACTGCTCTATGTTACTCTTGAATCTTATCCCAATCTAGAACATAAATTCTACTTAGAGAAGCACCATGGTAGAAGGCATAAAATTCTGAAAACTGTTAATTGTACTCACCCTGTAAGGAATCCTGTGACTGGTTCTCCCCTGATGGTCCTGGTTTCGCTAATATTTGACCTATAAAAAGAGGGTTCATTACTTACAAACAGCAAGATATCCCAAGATGTTTGCAACAATATATGAATCTTAACAGAGGAAAAGAATTATGATGATTCCCAGTCCCACAAAAAGAAAATCATAAAAGAATTTTAATACACTGCTTACATTTAAAACACACTTCAAAGTTTACAGTGATGCACACAAATTTTCGCATATTTCTGCATGCTGAATTTTAAAATATGCGTTGACAAGGGCAAACACGTTCAAAAAAATGGAGCAAAATCAAATTATTTACAGTAACTGGCAAAAAAAAACTTCCTAATTGTTTTATACGAAAAAACACACTAAAGTTAATGAGACAGCAAATATGCACAAACAGCAGAACAAATTGTGGCAGATCATGGTCTCAAAGTTCATTTACAGGTGCTGTACCATACTGGAGATTATTCTGCAATGGCACCATTATTACACACAGAAATCAGGACTGGAGATGACCATTACCTGCTTTTTTTTTAAGTGCAAGAGTCTGTTCCAGTGAGATCAACAAATTGAAGGGAGTGGGGAATCCCAACAGGAAAGATAAAGTGCCATAAAGAGTAATTAAATACCAATTAAGA